TATAAATAATTAAATTAATTAAATAAACTCTAACTTATAATTAATTTAGATTATTTAAAATATATATTTCAATTTTTAAATGTCTATAAAATCAACTGTTATTGTTACAAAAAATTCTTGTGATTTTTTTTTTCATCAAACATGTACCAAATTTTTCTGGGTTAACTACGACTTAGTACTTAAACTATCAGTTTTGATTCATTTTAGCACATAAACTTTTAATTTTTTCAAAATCATATCTAACGTTTAGTTTTCATTTCAATTTAGTACCCCGTTATTAAAAACTTAAAGCGCTTAGTACCTAAACCATCAGTTTTGGTCCGTTTTAGTACCTAAACTTCCATTTTGTTTGTACTAAAATGAAACGAAAACTAAACTTTAGTATGATTTTAAAAAAAATTAAAAAATTTAAGTACTAAAATGAACCAAAAATTTATAGTTTAAGTACTAAAACCATAATTTACTCATTTTTATGTAGCCAAATGACAGGGTAGAAGTGATGGCTGCTCGTTATCGTGGTTAGTGCCATAGCCAAGAAAGGGATAATAATAAGAGAAAATAACTTGAGTGACTGAAAATGCCTTATAATATACGATTTTAACCAATTTTTTTTGGATTTGCAAAAATAACCAACGAATTCGCAACTCAATTTTGAATTCGCAACACGAACTCAAATTTCACAACACATAATTTGGAATTCGCACACAGAAGACAAATTTGCAACTCGAATTTAACAATTTCGAAACACCAATTTCTTTTTCGCAACTCAATTTTTAAATTCGCAACACGAGTTTTGTTTTCGCAACTAGATTTTCTAATTTGCAAAGTGAGTTTCAATTTCGCAACGTGAATTTCGTTTTCGCAACTGAATTTTCTAATTCGCAACGCGAATTTAAATTTCAAAAATCATCTTTTAATTTCGCAACACAAATGTTTTGGGTATATCCCCTAAATCGGAACTCATAACCTAAACCCCTAAATCATAACTCAGTCACATCTCCATCTCTCACTCTCTCCGGCGACATCCTTCCCCATCTCCGACGACATCCGTCCCCATCTCCGGCGACCCCCTCCATCTCCATCTCTCACAGCCACCCTCTCACAACCATTCACGGCCACAAATAGAAAATCAACCATCGAGGGTTAGTTTTTTTAATTTTTATTTTGAAATTTTTGTATTATTATTAGATAATTAATCATTTTCATATTTTTTTCTTGCTTGATTTGCTATCTAATATATATAGATTAACCATTTCACTTAGATTGCTTAGTAAATTCATTCGGTTGCTGCCAATACTGCTAAACAGTTGTTTAGTCTTTAACCCTATGAAGTTATTATTTGTTTAGTCTTTGTTTTTTGGTTGAAGTAATGCACTTCATTCAAGCTTCAATTTGCAGAAGAAGAGTAGTTTATTTCAAGAAACTTAAATTTGCAACATGAAAATCGCAACTCGAAAATGAAATTTGCAACACGAAAATCGCAACTCGAAAATGAAATTCGAGTTGTGAATTCAAAATTCGAGTTACGAATTTCATTTTTGAGTTGCGTTTTTTGTGTTGCGGATTTAAGTTTCTTGAAATAAACTACTCTTCTAGAATGTTGTCCTTGAACCTACACTAAACATATATGTTGTCCTTTTTGTTTATACTTATGCTTACTTCTAGAATGTTATCTGATGCATTTTGTGAACTATGATAGAATAATGACTTGGGTGAATACCGGGCTAGTTTGAAAGTATCATATTTGGTTTAATAGTATTAAGATTAGATAAGATAATCTATATTTTCCCTGTTTAATATCATGTATGTTTATTGTGTATAATTTATAGTTTTTGGTATATTATTAGTATATCTAACTTAGTATTTTTATTGTTTTTGTTAGGAATTTTTTTTCAGCTGCATTGACTTTAAGGAATAAATTAAGCCTAGCCACTACAATTGCGTTGAAAATTACACCTATCCAAAGAAATTTGTTTGAGAATACTTGTTTCAGACCATAGCTGAAAGTACAACATCTGAGTGGAGATGCTTTGTTGACTCATTTGTTTCTACAGACCATGACTAATGATCTACCCGAGGGGATACCACGTGGCGATAAGGAGATATGGTTTCATTTTCCACCGGTATATACTCGTTTTGGGCGGGAGGAGTTTTGCTTGGTCAGTGGTCTACGTTTCAGATGATACGATGAATTAGGTTCGTACACTAGTCATATCGCCACCCCATCATGGTTATTTCGGGTTTTTCTTGACCTGGCAAAGGTGATGTCCACTTTACATGTCAACGATTTGAGCATATTACTTCTTAGAGATGGTTTTACTCGGATAAATGACCTTGATATTATCTAAGTATGCCTTTTGTTACTTTTGTATGTCGGTTTTTTAGCAAAACATGGCAGACAACCTATTTGTAAGGATTTAGTATTATTGGTAGATGACCTAGATGCATGGAACGTGTTTCCGTGGGGTTCATATATATGGAAAGCTACTTGGAAAAAATTATCATATGCCATTGAGGACCGTCGTAGTTTGCATGGGCATTGTTCCAAATACACTTTGGTAGGCTTTATTTGGGCCTTTAAGTTAAGAAATATATAATGTTTCCAAAATTAATTATTTGTTTAATTACTAAAATTAATGTATATTATATTGTAGATTTGGATATTTGAGGCATTTCTCAGCGTGCGTACTTTTGCCATCAAGAATTCAAATGATATTCCTAGGGCTATTACTTAGAAGATGATCTAGCAGTTGGATTGGGATGAGATACTAACATATATGACGATCGATGATGTAAGTAAACACAAATACTACCATATATAAACAATTTATTACTAGTAGACATTTGACTTTATTTGGGCTTTTATATTGTTATGAGGCAAACTATCCATTACAGACATTGATACCCACAGAGGCTGAGGTTGCCACTGATTGGTGGCAAGCTAGTAGGCGTTTTTTTATAGGACGGATGATGAGCACCCCCCACTTTTTCATCGAGTCGATTCTTTACTTTGACACCGAGACCCATCACCTCATAGAGCCGATTCTACATCTCGACACTGAGATCCATCACCTCTAGTCGATTCTACACCTCGACACCAAGATCTATCACCTATTCCATCACATCATCGAGTCTCTTCTCCACCATCACTTCATGTTAGACGACCAGCAAAGATGCCATGATATTTATCTCCCCGTTCTCCACCTCCATGGTATGAGTTAGGTGTTTTACGTGATGAGGTCGGTGCTTTACATGATGAGGTCGATGTTTTATGTGATGACAATGGTGCTTTATGTGATGAGGTAGGTGCTTTACGTGGTGAGGTAGCTGCTTTACATGATGACAATTGTGCTCTACGTGATAAGGTCGGTGTTTCATCGTTGCAGAATGAGGTGCGTATTCTACACGATGAGGTAAGTTTGTTTAATTTTATAAGAAATACTACACTAAAAATGCTTATAACCTTTTTTTCAACATTATTTATTTATTTACTGATTTATGTATTAATTTATTTTTATAGGCCCGATGATAATATGTTACATGATGACCACTATAATTCCGAGTAGACCAGCCATATGCCTTCAGATATATGGATAACGTTCTTCTTGCACGACGGGGTTTACGCATCAGACGTCGTGAACCTGTCATTACGTCTCCTTTCACCCCAATAGTTCCAAGACTGCGTAAGAAGAAGTATGATCCACATACCATTGTTCAGGATCCACCTCTCATCGTTCAGGATCCACCTCCCATCGTTCAGGATCCGCATTCCATACTATGTAGATATATTGGTAAACCCCCTCTTGTGCCCGGTATACTGGATCTGATATGGCTTTTGTATTAATTACCAGTCAGTACCATTCCTCAGCATAAGATATGCACACTACAGGACACAGTTAAGGATAATACCGTTTGGGCTAAGACCGCAGTTGATTTTTATCTACACGAGCGGAGCAAGGGGTGCTTCACCGACATATGCAAAATCGACCATACACATTTATTTCTTAAGCGGTCTTGGTGGGGTGTTTTATTAGGGGTTGAAGATAGAATGGGGGTAAGTATTATATTCTTTTTATATTGATTTTGATTATTTTTTAATTTATTAAATTTACTAATATATGTATTTTTTTTATAAAACAGCATATTGATGCATGGGTAACACAACTTCTGATTTTAAGGAAATTGAAGAAACTCAAAAAGATGTGATAGACTATTATGCCTTCGTCTTTTTACTCAACTCACTTGCAGGATCAGAGAGACGTTTCATATGCGTTAGGTAATGGTAAAGCTATCATTTATCTTGAGTGGTGGGAGGTCGATAAGGTTAATATTTATTTTTACATATTTAAAGGTGTTCATCAAATTTATTTGATTTGCACAGTTAAAGTATTATTTATATTGTAGGTGTTTATCCCTATTATGGAACGTCGCCATTGGTTTCTCGTCGAGCTTCAGCTCCCATCACTGAAGACGATAGTATATGACAACTATTTGAATTACATACCATTGTCTGCTTTGAAAGATATTATTTGTAGGGGATGGATCGATCTTTTGTCTAAATACTTGGATGGGATTGCTTATTGGACTAATTCAGGAAACGAGAAGCCGAATAAGTTCAAAGTTACAATAATGAGAGACGAGACAACGCCATAATAAGCGTCAATAGCCAGAGGGGATTATGGTCCGTTTGTATGCATGTGCTTGGAACGTATGACGAGATGAGGCAAACAGTTTCTACCTCCGACATATAGAGATAGAGGTGCAGTAGGGTTGTGGTTTCAGCATTTTATGGCTAGAGAGATATAAACGAGACGTTGCCTACCTGTATCCAGTGGTTAATATGCGACAATATGACCATGTGAGAATTTCCTTTTGCCTTAGTTCATTATTTTCATATCTGAATGTTTTGGGAATTTTTACATCAGTTGGATTCTTTAAAATGGCTACTTGTTAACTCTTTCTTTTGCATCCCTTATATTGTCCATATAAATTATGAATTATTTCTTTTTTTTCAGGGACGCTAGATTTCATATTCTGATCACTAGCTATCAACTGCTGGTGTCTGATGAGAAGTATTTTCGACGCGTGAAATGACAATACATGGTATTATATGAAGCACAGGCAATCAAGAGTTCAAGCATGTTTTTACATTTACCTTCTAATTTGTTTGTTTCCTTGTTAATTATTTACTGCAATAGATTACTCCATCCAGTTACTTGGTGGTTTTCCCTTTTTTACTTTCTCCTATATTCTCATATACTCGGTTTTATCTGGTATTCTGATTGCATTGTGGCTTTGCAGTATAAGGTGGAAGACACTGCTTAGTTTCAACTGTCGTAACCGCTTGCTTCTGACTGGTACACCGATCCAGAATAACATGGCAGAACTATGGGCCCTTCTGCATTTCATCATGCCAACCTTATTTGACAGCCATGAACAGTTTAATGAATGGTTTTCTAAGGGGTATGTTCCTTATGCTAGCCTATTCTATTCTTTCACCATCTGACCAAAAATAAATTTTCTTATTGATTGCATCTCTTTCTATATCATCAGAATTGAGAATAATTTTGAACATTGAGGTACTTTGAATGAGTATCAGCTTAACAGATTGGTGAGTATTTTTTTCTTGCTTGATTTGCTGTGAGGATGAAGTTGTTGGACTTGTAAAGACTTTTTCTTGTGTTTATTATAGTTTGATTTATCAAGGAGCCAAAACTGACATTCTTTTTTCCTTATATAGAAAGAATCAAGTGATGTCAGGAGTACAGCTTAATAATGCATGCCTAACTGCAAAAATGTATGCATCCACACATAAAATACACATAAAGTTGTTTATGTAATGTTCAGACGATTATAGCTATAAAATACAGACAAAAACTAGGATCATATTAGTGCTATTAATATAGTAATATAAGCTTACTTTATACAAAGTTACCATTGGCACGTTCTTGTTTACTCTATTAGTACTAATATATATATATAACTGTTATACAATCATGAATACATAATACAATGTTTGCATCTAAAAATCACCTAAGTTAATAGTCTCAAAAGGTGAAGGCGATTGTGATTTGGATTTGGATTTTGATTGCGATTTTGATTTCCCTTTACTTGTCACCATATGAGCTTTGGATTTTATTGAAGATCCATATTTTGGTGGAGGAAAAGATGATTGTGATGGAACTGGTGATCCACAGGTCAACCTTGTATGACCACTTTTCTTGCATCGAATACATGTCGATATCTTCTTCTCTTCACCCTTAGATGGTATACGATCGTAATTTTTTGGTCGGCTAGGTAGCCTTCTATCCATGACTGGTGGCAAACATGTTTGTAAGTCATCTCGTATGTCACACTCAGAAGGATGTGGAATAGGGTAGACAATCTCGGCATAAGTCTGTCGATATACTTCTGTAGTGTAGCAATCCATAGCGTATGCTCTTGAATCGTCTTGGTTTAGATGAAGAACAACTTTTATAACATGGCCACACGGATAACCAGATGTTTGTCATTTCATACAACTACACGTCTTTGTATTTAGATTGACAAGACCATTTAAGTTATTATCCAAGACTTCAAATAAAGTGTTTGAACATGGTTTAACTCTCCATGACGTTGACTTCACAACACGTTTCATTATTTTTTTTCAGTCCATGGTGTAACACGACATTCCAATGTTCCTGTAATTTTAAATAAATAATACTTAGTAAAATCTATTAAATATGATAAGTTACGAATTTAAAGAAATAATATATGCATTGTTTCTTTTCTTATAGTACCATTGTTGAATATAGGCTCGAAAAAAACTCCATTAACATAGTAATGGGTAATTTTCGAGAATGACGACTTAGAGCGTTGATTGATTCTACACTATTAGACGTCATGAAACCATATCTTGCTCCAAGTTGATGTACTCTTGACCATCTTTCAAACCCGACATATTTTAGTGTTTGAGCACATTGAGGCAAAACACGTCTTAAACAATTTATATGCTTATTAAAATCCACTTCCCGATAAGCTTTTACATCCTTCCAGTATGTCCATTTGTGATTTTTTATACCGGTAGACCTTGATTTTAGATTTATGTACAAATGAACACCAAAAAGTCCATGAAAAGTATCTGGGAAACACCTTCTAATAGCATTATCAATTGAGTTTGTCCTATCAGATATGATTGTCAGATTACTAATAGGACCTATGCAATCCCTAAGATATCCCATAAACCATGTCCATGAATCAGAGGTTTCAAATTTGCCAACACAGTAAGCTATTGGCAGTATCCCATTGTTAGCATCCATGGCTACTGCTAATAAGTTTGTTCCTAGGTATCGACCTTTCAAATGTGCTCCGTCAACTATAATAATTGGGCGCATGCAAGTAATAAACGAATGAATCTAAAAAATAATATACACAAAAATATAATCATTTAAATGTGAACTGCATGTAACTAACAAAAATGAGTCAACAAAATTATATTGATTTACTAATCGTAACACCAATGGTGATAAACAGTAACTCAAAACGTCCATCTCTATCTGTTTTGATATGAGTTACCGACCCAAGATTTTTCAGCTTTAAATTGTGACAATAAGCCGGCAGTTGGGCAAACGATGCTTCTGGCGACCCCTCAACAATTCCAAGGCATAACATTTAGCTCTCCAAGCTTGAGAATACGAGATACTAATCTTGAACCGAGCATTCATGTTAGTCATAATTTCATGACTCCGATATACCCTACCATTCAAAAACATCAACTCATCCAGAAAACCACACAACACCTTTTTGTTTGCCTGTCTATGGTGAGGAAAAACTTGGGTTCTTGAACATGTATGTTTATCAATAAAAGTCCTAACTTGAAACATTTCGCAATCTTTTATCCTCTATGAAATCATAAGCCGCGTACAGTGTTTGTCAATCCTACACTTTGTTTCGAAACGATCTTTGCTTGATTTGTTAACTTTTAGTTGATAGTCATCTTCCACACATTTCGTATACAAAGTTATCTTCAAGTATTCCTTTGTATCAAAACAATCATCTTTCTTGATACAAATAACTTTTGTGTAACAATCAACTGCTATCTTTACCAACTCTTCTTCCGGTATCGGAAGTAATTTTGGCATATTCCAGTTATACTCCCGTGGCTCTTTCTTCTTCTTCTTTTCTTAGGGGACTTCTTCTTCTTTTTCTTTTTCTTCTTCAGGGTTATATGAATTACATAATGGATGTTCAACATGTTCATTCACAGCCGTAACTTCCTCCTCATTATCATCAACAACATCTTCATCTGGGTATTGACCAATATCAAATCATTATTGTAATAAGCAGGGCATGTTTCTTCTTATTTACTTTTACCCCAAATCTAATCTGAAACATCATCAAAATCCTAGTATTGACCAATATCAAAGTCTGGGTATTGACCAATATCAAAGTCCGGGTATTGACCAATATCAAAGTTCGAGTATTGACCAATATCAAATTTCGAATACTGACTAGTACTCATATTTTTATCTGTTGGCTCATCATCGTCTAACTGGTCAATACGAAAACCAGAATTTGGGTCTGTAAATTGATTGGGATTTGGATTAGGGAAAAGTTGTGGATTTTGAGATTGTATTTGGTATTGGAAATGTGGTGAAACAAAATTTTCTTGGTGATGAAACTGTGGTGGAACCATGAAATTTTGAGGTTGATAACAACGTTGTACATTGTGAGAACCATAAACTGGGCTGAAGAACTTAGTTGATTACTACCCGTTACTGACCCAACTTCACTACTTCTAGGTTCAACAACATACAATGTAACATCATCTTGCGAAACACTAATGTAAGCAATGAATGTTCAACATCTTCATTTTCGGTTAACAAATAAACTTTACTCTTCTTCTGATAAGATAGCCTAAATCCACTTAGAGGCTCTAAACTCAATTTCTTTAAAACACGTAACATTAGATTTTCATAAGTTAACTTTTTTAATGACAGTTTTAGTTGAAGATTCATGGGTAAAGGCATATATTGTAAAACACCATTAACATTCTCTCTTGACCCTCCATAACACAAATCTATCCAAACATACCTTTATTAAGTTGATACTTGATAATTTGGGAGAGAAATCACTGAAAAATTATATAGAAATAAAATTATGTAAAAAAAATAGAGATGGGGAAGGATGTCGTCGGATATGGGAACGGATGTCGTAGGAGAAAGTGAGAGATGGAGATGGACTGAGTTGCGATTTAGGGGTTTAGGTTATGAGTTTTGCTTCTTCGTAGTTTATATACCCAAAACATTTGTGTTGCGAAATTAAAAATTGTGTTGTAAAATTAAAATTTGCGTTGCGAATTCAAAAATCGAGTTACGAAAATGAAATTCCTGTTGCAAAAATGAAACTCGCGTTACGAATTAGAAAATTTTGTTACGAAAAGGAAACTCGTGTTGTGAATTTAAAAATCGAGTTGCTGAAAAGAAATTTGTGTTGTGAAATTGTCAAATTCGAGTTGCGAATTCGACTTCTGTGTTGCGAATTCCAAATTCGAGTTGCGAATTTGGAAACTGTGTTGCGAAATTGGAGTTCATGTTGTGAATTCGAAATTGAGTTGCGAATTCGTTAGTTATTTTTGCAAATAAAAAAAATTGTTAAAATCGTATATTATAAGGCATTTTCGGTCACTCAAGTTATTTTCTCTAATAATAATTGTCTTTACCGAGTCTGCTCCCACATCTTTGCAGCTTGCAACTTGCCAAACGCACACTCACCGCAACACACGCCGATTAGCTGCCCATTAGTCCCTAGTCTCTTTTCGATAGGTTTACCTATCTAACATTCATATATACTGACGATCAGCTCAACAACAACTCGCCTACAAAATTCAGAATGACATTCCAATATCTGATCTTATCCAAATTTTGTGAATTTGGATAATATTCATATTAATTATAAAGAAATATTTTATTTTTGTAACTAAACAAGTTTTTGTGTATTGTTTTCTTTTTAATCTGAGTTGAGATAATGACATCTTTATCTATTTGCATATTAAAATAATTATAAGAATTCAAATATTCATAAATAAATAAATACAAGTCGCCGATATGTTTCATAAATCTAATTCCAAAAGGAGTGTCATTAGATGATAAAGTCTTGTTGATCTTATAGCTATATCAAAGCTTATGCTCCTATTGGGAACTAAAAGCCCAAAGCTTCATGGATTTTCATTTTCATTGCTTGAACGCCAAGTCTTGCCTAATAATTTAACGTACTCAATTGTACGACAGTAAAGAACAAGGACCTAATAATAAAAAGATTTGATATAACACTAATCAAAATTATATAACAATATGATTAATTGTCTTTAATTGTTTGCTTATTTTTTAAAAGATTAATTGATCCAATTTTAAAATAACAAGTACTTATTTAGGTTATTTCACAACAGAAATGTATAACAGTACCAAAATCGTACTGCTCGTAATTATTATCCTATTGACAACAATCTGTAAAGCTCACAGACCCTGAACTAACCTAAGGCGGAAGTTGAAGATAGAGTTGATCTTAAACTGCATGGATTGGGCTCCC